ATTACTCCTCAAAAGGCCTGTCCTTCCATTCTCCTGATCAAGCTTTCCTTTTCTATCCTCATTTCTATTCTCCATTAACAAATCTCGCCTTCTCCAGTAATTCCTCCAGTTTATTTATTACTGTCACCCCATCACTTTCCAATTCTCTGGCACTGGAAATGAAATCTTCAAAACTGGGGAAAAACATCCTTCTCCATGCTCCTCTGGCCTCACCCCAGATGTGCTCATACACACTCACTTCTGTGCACGCTGCTTCCTTCACACCACACTTTCCTGCTCCCTGCAAACCAAGTCACAAAAAGACTTCCGAATCCTCCCATTTTCCAAGGTCCGCCTCAGTCTTCCAAAACGCTGTCTAGACTATTCCAGCACATAGAACTCTCTTCTCACCCTCTCTACCTATTCTCGTGGTCTGCATGATACTCCACACATTCTAAATATTCAGACTTAATTAGAATACTGTCTCTTCAAGTTCATTTTACACTTTCCAGAAACATGTTTCCTCCTCTGGGTGCCTAGGATTTAAGTACACAGTTTATATATATTACCCAGTTGAATATCCATAGCAACAAGAATTAAGTTTGACTCTTGCTTACTTGTTCTTTTTGTTTGGTGGTTTTAGGTGCAGTTCAGGTACCTGGGAAAGGGTTTTTAATAATCCTGGATTTGTAACACTACACTCATTGTTTAGATGTGGTCAGTTTGTTTTCCTCAGTTAGTTAGTATGGTTTTTGCACAATATGAATGTCCCCTCAAGATCATATGCAAAAGCTTAATCCCCAGAGAGGCAGTATTAGCAAATACTATGGACGTTTACAGGGTGGGGCCCGGTGGGAGGTCCTTAGGTCAGTCTCAGCATGCTGTCAAAATGTAAGAAGCCACCTGCCCTGTTCTCTCTTTCAATTCCAGTTGGATACATGAGCATTTTGCTCCAACACAAAGTCCCTGTCATTGGCATCCGTGCCATAAACAAAGCCAGCAGAAGCCCTCACTAAGCCTACACTACATTGTTAGATTCTGATCCTCCAAATCTGTGAGCTAAGTAAACGTTTTCTTTTTATAAAGTTCAAAAAAAAAAAAAATACTGTCTCTTAGCTTCCTGGCTGCCATAAAGTACACAGCTTTCTCTCTGTTGCCTTCCCATAGGCCCAAAAGCAATGGGTGAATTGACCTTGAAATGAAACCTCCAAAACTGTCTGCAACAGCCATCTTGCAAACATGACAAAAAGTAAGGAAATTTCAAATACTTTCTAATTAATACCAACATTTCCCCCTTTTTTTGGACTTCTCACTCCATTACAAAATTAAATGTATATTGTTTATTGGAAAAAAATACAAACAGACTGGAATTCATTCACTAGCAGTGGGATCTTAAGTCATTTCTCTAAGCCTCAATTTTCTCAGCTATAAAAATAGTAAGAGTTCAGCACCCTAGCTCATAGAGTTGCTGTAATGGTTAGATGAGGTAATTCATGCCAAGAGTATGGTACAGAATGAACACTAGATTAATATTACTCACTTTTATGTTGTCAGTGTCATCTTCTAGCATTTTTGTGTATGCCTTAAGAGCTCAGTAAGAGTCTAGGCTCTTAAGGACACATTACCTCTTACAGATGTTTCATAGATACATCTTTATATAGTGACTAAAGAAAGACACAACGCTTCTTATGTAATGGGGCTAAAGGGATAATTATAGTAGGCTGGTTCAAGATCTAGTCTAGCAGTCAGGAAACTTCACTACACATGTAGAGAACATCCCATTATGGGCCAGTGTTAGTAGGTCACCAGTGTCTCACTCCAGAAAGTATCCAAGCTTACCTAATAAAAGGCAGGAACTGTATATTAATAGATACAGTGTACAGTGGCCAAAGATCCTTACTTGCTAGCCAGGTGGCTGACAAAAGGATCATCTGTGGGATTTGTCATGAGAAGGAGAACTATCACAGCAGATCGATAAGTAAAGAGTAAGCACTTTTATGGAGTGCTCTAAATTACCAAAGTCTTTCCAGATAGCCTTTAAGTTTCTGTGATAAATTCCTGGTTACTTTTCCTAAAAGTTGCAAGACATTATCCAAGCTATTCATTTTTTCACTGCTAAGGCAGACAAAGACCTAAAAACACTGCTATCAAGGTAAAAGAGCAAACCTAGTAGGGTTTTTGTCTGCTACAAAAACAAAGTGCAGAGATAAGTTTGTCTTAAGCAACACACAAACACTTTCACTGTGCAGTCTCTCAGTTTCTATTTCATTGAAGCCCATCACAAACTTAAGAAAAATCTTTATTTAGAAACTCACATAAAAGATAAAAAGGCCTTGTAACCACGCAAGAACTCTAATTCCTAGAACACAGGGCCATTCAAAGATCTATTTTTTGATGTGGAAGAGTTTATGAACTGAACAGGCCCTACCAACTCAAGACAGAGCTCTCTGAAATTACAGTGGAATATCAAGGCGGCAGAATCACTTCTGTCACTCACTCAAAAAAAATATTGACCACTTTACAGGCCACGAAGTTCTAGTTGTTGAGGATACAGCAGAAAATCAGAAATATCTGAGGCGGAATTCTAGTGGCAGTTGCTGTTGATGGTAAACACAAGAACCAAGTAGAGATTTTATATTGGGGCTTCAGAGAATGATTTTGTGAGGAAGTAGCATCGAAACCTGTACCTAAGTGTATGGGGTAGGGTCTTTCCAAGCAAACTAAGCATTAGGTTCAACAGTTATGAAGTAGGTGCTAAATTTTATGTAGATATCCTGGGAAGAAAAAGATAAATAAAACACCTGTGTTGGAGTTCTAGCTCTTTCCCCTTTGCCAGCTGAGTAGCGCTGAATAAAACAACTTTTAATCTCTCTTGAGTCTTTTTCTTCCTCTGTAAACCGAGGATCGTGCTATGCACCTTACAGTTACTTCAAAGAATAAAATGATGCTTGAGGAATCACTTGACAGCACGGGGAATCATTACCAGGAGTGTGTGCTTACGACTGTAGGGAATTTCATGGAAGGCTCTGCTGGTTTCAAGCTATGACCCAGATTAATCACCAAATTTGCTTCCTTGTCTGGCTAATGGAACTTACCCCACCAACGATGTGGGGAGATTTAAAACAGCAATCCATGTAAATACAACGAGGGACGCACAAAGACCCCTCTAGACCTAATCGACCGTTACTGTCGTCACAACATGGGCTTTGAACTACCAATTCTGCATGGGATGTTCCCAGGAGAACATTCAAGCTGCTCCATAGGCATCTGTCGAACAAACTGTAAGGCCCCATCAAACACTATGGACGACTTCGCAGTTTCCATTCCACTGGGACATTCGAGTTTTTAGGAAACCAGCTGCACTCTCTGAAACCCTTTTAACAGATGCAGACTGCACTTTTGAAGGGCTTCATAAACGAAGCTACCACCAGACTTTCCCCCTGAGACGGGGAAGGACCCCTTTTTAATTCACCCTTCCCCGCGTATCATCCACCACCCAATTTTAGAGAACCGACGACTAACTACCCTAGTACGCCAGTGTCCGCCCTTTATAAAGAGGTGGTGACGTCACAGGCGTCGCGCGTGCGCAAAGGTGGTGGCGTGACCACGCCCAGTTCTGCGTGGAGGCTCCAGCGCGCCTGCGCAGTCTCCCGCCCGCGCCTTCCCGGAAGAGCCGGGAGTTGGGCGCGGTGCGCCCAGTCTCACAGCAGCACGGGATTCTGCTGGGCCGGTGAGGAAGATATGGTTAAAGGGAAGAGCCAGGGTGATGAGGAAAGTTCAGGAGTTTTTTTGGGTGGGGGGGGAGTGGACAAAATGAGAGTTGGGGCGGTGGTGGTGCAGACCTATTGCAAATGTTCAGTTCAAAAGGCAGAATTTACTGTGGGGCTTCTCTCAAGTGCTCACTCCGGGCATAACACAAAAGTTATCCACCGACTGACTTTGCGGGGTTTCTTTGATGCTGCGTGAGTGGGCTCCGTTGCAAAGCGAAACCGGGAAGAAGTCGGTGAGGGTTGGCCTGCAGTGATCTTAGCGGGAAAATATCCGTAATTAGACGCCTGCGGGCGAGTTTGAGCGTGGTTGCTGTCCGCGGTGCTGAAGACAGGCAGCCATGCCTGAAGAAGGAAACGCAATGAAGGCAGGCAGCGCCCTGCTCTGCCTAGCTGTGTGCTTGCTGAATGAAGACCTCAGTCTTCCCATCAGGCTGCACACGCGAGCGATGAATAAACAATGGGAGTCTCATTCCTGTCTTTTCTCCCTTAGGTCATGCACCTTCACCTTTTCTGCCCATGCAGGTGATGGGCACCTTCCGAGCGTTTCACTAGACCTCTGTCTATGAGTGCAGGTTCTTTAGCCAAGGTGAGCTTGCTTCTGGTGTAAAGTGTGCCACGAAAATGAGTTTTCCCAAACTCTCCAAAGGAGAGAGTGCTGAGCGGCCAGGGTAAGGTGAAGATTTTTAATTGTGCTTTTCCTTCCAGTTACACATGGAAAATACTTTCCTATTTGGAAGAGAGATGGTAGAACTGGGCAGCCTTCCAATAAAGGAGAGACCATGAGTCTCCAGTTGGTTCTCATACTTGTTTACCTTTCTGTCTATGTGTGTGTGCACATGCATAAGGGATGGTGTTCCCGTGTTGAATTTTACAGTGGATTTTTTTTTTCTGTCTGTTGATACAATAAAATGTTCACTAGTTTTAGTACCAGCTGCTTGTTTGTTTCTTATTCTGATTAAGGTTGGAGTTTAGGAAAAAGAGAGGGAAATGTGAAATATGTTGAGTTTACCTGATCTGTGATGTTCTTGAGTGAATCTGGCATATGCAAAAACCATGCATCCTGAATAAAAATGATTTTCATTGTATTCTTTCAAGTCATACATTATTACATCTTAAGTTTACTTTCTTTTTCAGAGAGCCAGTGGGTTGTGGTACTGAAATGATCAGATATTACCAAGTTGAATGAGTACATGTGGTAGAAGTAACTTTAAGTGTTTTTATTATTTAGAAGAAACCGTGTAACAGCTTTGATTAAAAATGACTTCCTTGTTTGTTCAAGAAATTCGCCTTTCTAAAAGACATGAAGAAATGTAAGTTTTTAAAAAGGATAATCCAAACATAGACGTTGTACTGGCTTTATTAGTGAAACATTATATGTACAGGGAAGACTTAAAAATTTGAAAGAGTATTGTTTTTTATTTCCTGCCACTGAAGAGATTTTGGTGTAGGGAATTTCATTGTCTCTTAAGAATAACCAAAGGCTGGAGGCTTGGCTCAAGTGGTAGATTGCCTGCCTAGAAATCACAAGGCCCTGAGTTCAATTCTCAGTATCGCCAAGAAAAAGATAAAAAGAATAACAAAGATTATCTTTTTATGTTTTGTTACTAACATCTAGATAAATTCACCTTTCCTCTCACCCTTTCCAGGCTCCACATTGGTGTTTAATGGACTTCTCTGGGGCTCTTATTCAGGGGTGGCCTCGTATGTGATCTTATACAATCACAGGCCCTACACTTGGTTTAATGCTCTGTCAGTCTTCAGTCATTTTGCACTGGGTCCTGCATATCATATAAGCAATCATACTCATATTTCATGTCAATCCTCTGCCTCCTCTGTCCATGGGCTCTCAGGCTTTTTTTTTTTTTTCTTTAATTATCAGGCTATCTTCCTTGACCTTCAGATATATTTTCCTTACAAAGAAATGACTACTCAGAGACCTCAGTCTTTAGTTCTATGAAATAGTGTTTTTTGAGAACCTCCACAACTGTTTGGAAGGGGGTTTGATTTTTATGCATAATGCTTATGAATTCTTAATTATCTGACATTATTATTTTATCATTTTCAAGTACCTGAAAACTTGTCAAATGAGCATTTGACCAGCAAGTAACTTTTAAAGTATATTAGATTTAATGAAATAGCTTGAGAATTTACTTATAACTTTTTCCATCTTTCTTCATTACTGTTTTACCTTGTTGTGAGCATGCATACATACACACTGCCTCTCACTCATATATCAAACCATCATCTTTCTCTTGGAAAAAGAGGAAAAAATATTTTTATTGCTTCTTCAAACATATGGAAGTTTAGCACAATTCTAAATGTGTAACATGAGATTCAGGGGTACTGAAGTGTTAAGCAGAAGGTTTCATATAGCAAGTTATATCAATGTATGTGTGTGGGGAGGTATATATAACTATGTGTACAAGGAGCTATGTATTACAGTTTGCATTTTCACCAAAAATTAAAACATATCTCCAACACTCTAAAATAATTTCAAAAGACCACAGAGGCTAAAAAACAGAAGCATGTACTTATGGCATATATAAAGGATATGTTAATGAAAATAAAAATAATTTTACCCAGATTGACTTAAGACTTAGTGAACTACATAATTTTTTCATTGTCTCATTAGTTGACGTATTAATTGACTTTCAAAATAAGTTGTAGTTAAAGTGAGTTGTAATTAAATGAATTTTGTATAGTGGTCAGGCAATAAAATATTTGCTTTTTAAATTTGTTCATTTCTTACAGTCTTCATTTTTTCTAGAGTATCACAAAGATTAACATTACTTCAACAAATGAAGAATAAATTTGGAGAACAAAACACAGCAAAGGCATCTCAGCGGCAAGCAGCTAATACCGCTTTTAAAAGGAATCTTAGTCTTTTAAAGGTAAGTTTCCATGACTGAGTACAGAAATTTTTCCTACCTTTCCTAAAATATTTTACATGGATTTTAAGATTTTAATTTATATGATTTCTTTGTTCTGAGTAATAAGTAGAATTAATGAAGTGGTATCTCCTTTGAAACCCATGTTAATTGGGTAAAAAGTATGTGGTTTCTCATTTTTTAAAATGAAAGAAGTTGGAATTTGAATAAGTTCAATATTTTCAGTCAACCAGGAAATCAATGAGTATAGGTCACCTTTATGCAAGAAGAAATAGAAGATGTACCTTTCCATATTCTATCTTCTTTTATTTGAAAGAAGATGCTGAAAGACTTTAAAGTAACTATGATGTGTTTAGATCCAACTCAGAACTATTAGATGTCATGAAAACAAGAACAATTTGATTTTGCCCTCCTGGAGCCACAGTCAACATACAGGATTCATATCTACAATAACAGATTTCTTAGATTTCCTTTTGATGGTTATGGAGGCGGTGGTCAAAGTATATGACTGTGCAGGGCCTCACCATTTGGCCAATGTGCCCATTTGGAGGAAAATCATATGTGTAACATTTTTGGCTGCTTGCTATACTTTGCTTCCAGAATTGTGTGGCTTCATCCATAATTAAAACCCTAAAGTTTGCTTCCATTCAAGCTTCCAAGAGATCCTATGACTAAAACATTTGGTAGTAAGACTATATTATTTAAGTTATAAAGCAGTGTTTTCAGTTTTTATTGTTAAATATTTTCATCGATAGGCATGATACAGCTATCTTCTCTCCTCACTAGAGATAAAGGAAGAGGAAAATTCAGTTATCTTCTCAGCTTCTGGCAGTTTGATCCACAGTAATTTAAGTCACAGCCATAGTGCTACCAAAGCATTCTATATTGCCATATGTCTTACTTGCCCAATGGTGTTAGCGATATTTATTTTTAAATGGAAATATATAGGATATTCTGGAATTTGCTACGAAAAGTTAGAAAAACTAAATCAGAAGGCTTGATTGCTACCTACCTGCAGAAAGTGATGTGATGTTGGTTTTCAAGTGATTTCCTTTTAATGAGCAAGTATTTGATGAATGCTCAGAGGCTGAAAGTAGACAACAAAGTAAGTATAAATCAAAACTCTCGCTCTCAAAGAGCTCATAGGGTTAGATGATGTTAGACGGCTGTAAGCTCCATGTTATCAAGAACCCTGAGACTTTATGTTATCAAACACTAAATTACATGGGGTCGATTTGAGACTGTGAGGAATGGAATAAAAAGATGTTTGAGAGCTTTTTGAATATAGAGATTTTTTTCCCACCTATCCAAAAGTGTTTTACACGAATTTTATGATTTTGATTTATATGTTTCTTTGTTCTAAATAGTAAGTAGGATTAATGAGGCAGCATTAATATGAGAATGCAGTAAGAGAGCTCAAAATAGCAGCTAAGCTTCAGCCATGTTTGAATAGGTATGAAGGCAGGGCATTCCACTGGATTCTTAAAAGAGCCAAGACCAGAAAAATGAATGGCCCTATTAAGGTTCATAGGAATATGAACTAACGAGCTTGAAAATTCACAGAAAACAAGGTGGGCTATGTTTGAGAACCGAAGAGGTTGAGAGGTGATATGTAAAGATAACAGTACTGACAATTGTGTGAGAAAAATAAAATTATCAGCTCATAAGAAACGTTATAAGTGGGTTTTTAAGAAAGATTGATTTTCTGTTGAAATGCAAGGTGGTTTCAAGGATAGAGAAACTCAAGTGTAGCTAAGAAGTAGTCTTATCTTAATTCTACTTATGGTGTTTTGAGTTACAGTGATCAGGTTAGGTATATTAAATGCATTTTGGCTTTTGATATTTTCAAATTAAGATAGGTTTATGGGATATTGGTCAAGGAGCATCTGTATAAAAGGAAGACAATGAACCTTGTTTGATAGTTGTGAGAAACTTTAGTTTGGTATATTTTTTTGCCCTGTCCTTCAAAGTTTAAAAAAAAAAAGGAAAAGACAAAGAAGATGAAAAACCATGCCTCCCTGCCGTCCGCCCATGTGGAAGCAAGTGCATTTTTGCATATGCTTTTCAATCCTATAATAACCATTTGTTGAGCACCTATTATATCACATAGAACTTATGCAAGGTGTGGTCTCTTCCCTCTACTTTTAAAGATTTTGAATAATTGTATGTGAAGTTTTTATTCTGCTTTCCTCATTTTTTAAAAACTTTGGAGATAATGTTAATGGTATTACTATAAAATTCATTGTGAAAGCAAGATAAATAGCGTTTGATTATAGAATTTCAAGTTGGGAGAGACTTTTTGGAGAAGTGGGGGGAAATTAGTGGTTGGCCCAAATACTTATGCAAAACACACACACATACACACAACCAGTACGCCACACCCTCCCCCCAGCTCCAAAGAGAGACTTTAAATAGCTTTATTACATTAGATTTTCATGGAAGGGTATAAGTTTTTATTTTTATTTTTATTTATTTTTGGGTTTTTTTGAGAGAGGATCTCACTGGGTAGTTCTTGATCCTCCTGCCTTAGCTTTCTGTGTGCTGGGATTACAGGCAGGTGCCACCATGCCCTAGTGATCTTTTTTCAAAGATCTAAAATAGATAAAAGCCTGGCTGTTGCTCTTAAAACTGTGAAAATTCACCAATCTGAGCTAACAATTTAAAGATAAAGAAACTATAGGGTGGGTACACCCAAATACCCCTTGTCAAGAGCCGATTAAGGTATCTCTAAGATTGATACTTCAGAAGTACTACATATACCTTAAAGATGGTTCTGTTAATATTGTAGTATAATGTACTATAATGATTGTAACAAAATAAGGATGATCTCTGTTACCATGCATTACTTGACCTTACTTAGCTCTTCTGACCAACATAAAAAAAAAATCAGTAAAAGGGAATGAACTTTAACTTTTGAAAGTAAGATGGAACACCAGTATTCTGTGTTACATGGGTAATATATTCTAAAGCATGTGGATTAATAGTTGTAGAAACTGATAGTATTCCTGTAATAAACAGCTAGAAAATATGAGAGATCAGATTCACATTAGAAAAATTCCAAAATATTTGGGACTATTATTAAGGGCTATTCATGCTAGTTAGTGTAAAGACACTTGTATTATAATGCAAGAATTAAAAGAAAACGTAAAAGAAGACATATGCCTTAATCTTGACTAAGATGACCACTGTTTTCTCTACAGGCACTTGTCACAAATTGATACATATTTTAAAAATCCTAAAAAATTTGTATTGACTTCCATAACCTTTCTATAAATTCATTTGGAAAAATAAATTGACAAGAATACCAAGCATCAAAGGATTTTTTTAAAGGAGCAAAAAGAAGGAGACTAAGCACATCAAATATTTGACCATATTAGCAAATGAATGGATGTAAGTAGTTGAGAAAACTCGTGTCAGGCTTCAGTCAGCAAATGTCATAAAAAATAGTGAACTTTGAAACATAGACTGAGTGATCTTCCCCTATTAGTATTAAATGGAATTTAGCTCCTTTTAAAAAACAAACATAATTGGTACAGATTTGGAAGAGAAAGATAATTTTGTTTCTGAAATACTTTTATGATACAAACTGTGATCTCTCCCCCCAGTGGAAAATATTTCTATCCCTTCTCATTCTATTGCTGATTACTTGCATAAAAAGAATCTTCCCCTCATCAATTATTTGGTTACACTGAACTATAGTTCACATAGGAGAAAATATGCTGAGTACTTGATTCCTTGCCTGTATTTCATTGTCTTTGTTTTGTGGTAGTGGGGATCAAATCCAGGGCCTCGCATAAGACAGGCAAGCACTTAACCACTGTTCTACGTCTCCAGTCCTAGACTTAGTTTTTAAAATAGGTTGGCTCTCCAGCATCCTCCAAGGGCAACCACTGAAGTATTGTTTTGTTCTATTTCTAATATCTGTTTCAATCTCTTACAATTTTTTTATTCTGTCTCTCTTTGTGTGGTGTCACTGGGGTTTGAACTCAGGGCTTTGCTCTTTCTAGGCAGGCGCACTACCACTTGAGCCACACTCCCAGCTCTTTTTACTTTAGTAATTTTTCAGATAGGGTCTCAGGTTTTGACAGCATTGAACCATGGTATCCTACTCGGACCACGATTCTACCTACATTCTCCCACATACCTGGGATAATAGGCACACGACAACACACCTAAGTTATTTGTTGAGATGGGGGGGGGGTCTCACTTTTTTTTTTTTTTTTTTTTTTTTGCCTGGGTTGGTCTTGAACTGCAGTCTTCTCAATGTCTGCTTTCTATGTTGCTGGGACTACTGGCGTGAGCCACCACGCCCCACTATTCTTACTTATGTTCATATTGTTCCGTTTTTACCAAGCAGAAGCCTCAAGTTAGCGCCTGAATGCCTCTGACATGATAGTAAGAGTCTTTGATAGTTTCCTTTCCGATGTGTTGAGTTCTTCCAGGCTTATTGTGCATATTTGCTGCCCAGACTTGGAACTGGTCATTGCTTGCAGAAGCCCTGGCTCCTTTTGGAGGAAATATATTTAGAGCTCTCAGTCTGGGCACTAGGACTATTTATTGCAACTCCTTTTGATTTTTTTTAAAGATAAAATACAACAAGAATTCCTAACAGTACTTCTAATTCAATTACAGGATTGCACAGTTCTTAAAGCCATTGAGCCTATGCTTCTAATTTTTGCTCCCATCAAAAATCTCAGCTCCTGAAGAATGTTCCAACACCAACCTAACTATGTATAGTAGTCCTTCCCTTACCTATGGGACGTGTGCTACCAGACCCCTCCACACACACAGCAGACGTCTTAAACTAGACAATGCCAGATCCTATATATACTGTTTTTCCTGTACACACACACCATGGTAAAGACTAATTTATGAAGTAGACACAGTAAGAGATTAACAAAAACAACAGTAAAATACAACAGTTGTCATAATATATGGTAATAAAAGCTATGTAAATGTGGCCTCTCTCAAAATACCTTATTATGTGTACTCACCTTCTTATGATAATGTGAAATGCTACAATGCCTGTATGATGGGATGAATGAGGTGAATTATGTAGGTACTGTGACACAGTATTGTCAACTACATAAAGGGACCATGGGACACCAGGACTGTGATCCTTGGACAGTTGAGCCATTAACCCAGACAACTAAGTGACTAATAGGCAGGCAGCATATACAGTGTGGATGCTCTGGACAAAAGAATGATTTACATCCTAGGCAGGACAGAGTGGACCATTGCGAGATTTTGTTGTGCTATTCAGAACAGCATGCAATTTAAAACTTTTGCTAGCTGGGTGTGGTGGCATAGGTCTAGCTGTGTGGGAGGCTGAGATCCAGAAAACTGTGGTTCCATGCCAGCTTTGGCAAAAAGTTTGTGACACCCCATCTTAACACTAAAGTGGGTATGGTGGTACAAGCTTGTAATTCCATTTGTAGCAGGAAGCATAAATAGGAGGACTGCAATCCAGGCTTGGGCCTGGGCAAAATAGTGAGACCCTATCTCAAAAATAACAAGAAAGCCATGCACCAGTGGCTCACATCTGTAATCCTAGCTACTTAGGAGGCAGAGATCAGGAGGATCACACAGTGCAAAGCCAGCCCCAGTTAAATAGTTCTCAAGACCCTATCTTGAAAATACTCAACACAAAATGGCTGGTGGAATGGCTTAAGTGGTAGGACGCCTGCCTAGCAAAGTGTGAGGCCCGGTGTTCAAACCCCAGCACCACACACAAAAAAAGTAAATAACAAGAGCAGAAAGGGCTAGAGGCATTGCTCAGCAGTAGAGAGCCTGCCCAGCAAGTGCAAAGTCCTGAGTTCAAACCCCAGTACTGCCAAAAAAAATAATGAAACCTTCCTGAATTGCTTATTTCTGGATTTGTGTGGTGGGCATGCTGGAGTCGAATCCAGAGCCTTGTGTGTGCTCAGCATACACTCTACCACTGAGACACTCTCAGCCCCAGAATGTTTATTTAATACTTTCAGACTAGCACTAACAGCAGAAACTGGACCTTTGCAAAGCAGAGCTATGGTTCAGGTAGGACTTCTGTATATAGTTCTGTGATGCTATGATACAGACATCACCACCACCACCGATGAAGTAGTGTTTACTAAGTTACTGTTATAACTTTCTGTCATTAGCTATTATTCCACTAAGGATGTTCAGTCAACTGTGGGTTCTAAGACCACTTAATGGTTATGCCACCAACTCAGTTAGATTTGTTTCATTGGGTTTCTAAGTTAGAACAATTGTTTTTTATTCGCGCTATAACTATATAAAATGTTAAGTGTTCTAGTGACAAATCTGTAAAACAAAGCAACCAAGTATAGTCAGGCAAGTCACCTGAGTACCCTCTCTTCCACTCCCTTTTTTCCTCCCTCATCTTGGGTTGGTTGTTTTTTTTTTAAGTTTTGGGTTATTTGTTCATTTAATTAATATTTAAGTGCATTTTACTAGATAATTGAATGCATAAAGGTTGTATGGGACACAGTACATACCTTCTGGAAGTGTATACAGTAGTCAAAGGGAAGGTTCTTATATAACTTGCTACAGAAGCCTGGAATCAAGTTGCAGAGGATTTTTTTTTCAGTCAGGTTAAGGAATTAACACTTCATCTTCTATGTAGTGGATATCAATTTCTTTTAGTCTATGAAAAGATATAACTTCTTTCAAACAAATAAATCCCATTAAAAGTATGGATTAAAATAAAAAAAGACACATTCTTGGCATGAGTCAGAATAAGCACTCTGAATACCTGCTGAATAAGAAAATGCAGTAATAAGACCATAGCACTAGGAATGAAACTGAAAGACTGGAAGAGGCATCCTGAAGAAACAATCGAGAGATCTTTGAAATTTTAACTGATAGGAGTGAGAAGACTTGAACTGAGGATGGTGACACTAACAGTACTGGTATCTGAGCAAATAGAATTCCCACCATCACTCATTTAGCCCATTCAGTGGGAAGAAGCTAAACTTAGTTTTATTTGGTAGAGAAATTAGGGTGAAGAAGGAAAAAACATAGCCATCCTGTAAACAAACAGTTTGTTGAAGCTAGATAAGAGACAATCATGAAGGGAGATGAAGTAAAAATGTGAAGACAGATGTCAGAAATCTTAAAGCCCACACATAGAAGCCAGGAAAGAAAAAGCAAGCTAGAGAGGAGAGGTAAGAATGAGAGAGATAAGCAAAACATCTAAGGAAGTAAAATATCACTTAAGCTAACGAAGAAGTTGTTCAGAGATATGGCAATTGGAGGGCAAAATGCTACAGAGATGTGTCAGTGTCTTACCACAGGCCTGCTTTCCCAAACCACATGCCCCTGCCCGTGTCTGCTCTTTTGTTTGCATATCTGCTCTTTATAAGAGATATTCGAGGTCTTTATTTTCCGGCCTTCAAGATAAACATTTATGTTATCTCCAGTGCTCATGTCACCTAGATCTGCCACTAATGATAACCATGTAACTATTCTTAGAATACTGACATAATTGAATGTGTGGTTATTCTGTTTATTGGGTTACTAAAAGTAAAAAATAATTTTCCAGGCCCTCTAAAATCACAGAAAAGTCAGGTTTCTGTGTGTGTTGTGGCATCACCATGCAACACTCTTTAGTGTGTGCCTTAGCTGTAAACTTCTGATATGGGTAGACATGCTAACAAATCGATTTTTTTATCCCGAAATTGATGTGTTTTTTCCCTTCAAATCACCTTCCTTCTAGACAGCAGGTGCATTAATGGTTGTGCAACTTTGGGGAGTCCCTTTAGGGAATTTCCTGTTTTTCCCTTTTACATTTCACACCCATTTCTTGCTCCCGCCGCTACCATCTGCTATCTTTTTTCTCCTGTTCAGCATTGGCTTCTTCACACCCCACTCCCACGCCCTTTTCCATCTCTCTCCGTCTGTCCAACAGCCCTCTGCTTAGATTGCTCCAGTGCGTGTACATGGACCAAGGCAACTTTCTCTTTTCTATCAGTTCACTAAGCTTAAAGGAGAAACAATTTACCCAGCCTTGCAACAAGGCCTCTGCAAACTTGATATACTAAGAGGGCACAAGACAGCATAAATGCTGACTTGGAGAGCATTTCTTAAATGGGCTCAAAGATTTCAGCAGCAGTACACATAATTCTACATTTCTGAACATTTTTTTTATCAAGGTAAAATTTATACCAAGTTATGAGTTAAGTTACCGTGGTGTGTTTTATTTTAAATAACCGAAAGAGGCAATATCCACATCTTAAAGGTAAACCACAAATTAGGCATAGTGCTTGAATGCTCTCGGCTGAATGATATTCTGCCCAGCAATAAACTATTAAAATTAACTTGGAAATCTAGTTCTAAAAACCTAGGTAGTATAGTAAAAGGCTCTTGTCATATAGCACTGAGGTTCCTCATTTAGCCTCATTTAAACATGTGAAGTATTTCCCTAAGTGTAAGATTTAAAGCTGGAATGGGGAACAAGTGAGGTGTGTACCATTAACATGCTGTTTGCAACATCTGCAGAAACTAGTATTTTCTGCATTGAAGGTGAGTGCAGTGTAGGTCTATCTATTTTTGTATCTAAATAATTGGTGATACCATCTGGCTATCAGGTGGTTTTAAAGCTAGATTGATGTTCTGATTATTTGGGGAGGGAGAGTTGGTTTTGAGTCAGGATCTTGTTATGTAGCCCATCTGACTTCTAACTCACAATCCTCCTGCTTGGCTCCCAAGTACTGGGATTACAGGTGTGCCCTGTCATGCTTAGATGCTATGAACATTTTTAAAGGAAGCTCTTTTGTATGAATTTCTGGCACTTACCAGCTATTCAAAGTGAAAAGACAGAAAGTAGAAGTATCATCCCCCTTTTGTTTTAAAATATGAAATCCACACTTTTTACTCCAAGAGGATTAATTGAGCTATAATCAGTTCTACCTCACTGATCCTCCATTAATTCAAACTGTGTATCCAGAGGAGAGCTGAAGTGAGAGATTTGGGGTACAGACATTGATAGCAGAAATGTTGTTGGTGTTATAAGTAAGCTTTGGTTTTTAAATGCTGGTGTTGGTTACAGGATATAGAAGCAGCAGAAAAGTCTCTACAGACAAGGATTCACCCACATCCACTGCCTGAGGTGCTTTCTCTTGAGGTGAGACTCCTAGAGAACAAATGTAACAAGAGAGACCCTATCTTATCAGTAGGGCACTATAAGTTAGCAATGGCTATATGTGCATTTCCCAGAGTTACTTATTCAGCAAAATAAACAACATGTATTTGATTGACCTTTGTATGTGCATGATAAAGATATTGCATCTTTTCCCCTCATCATTTTGAAACTGTCTTGTTAAACCGTAACAGATAGCATGCCTAACTAAGCAAAATGCTTTTCCTGTGAAACCTGTTCAGTCCTTTGACCAGAATTTGGCCCTCAATATTTAAATGCATATTGTGATATAGTGTGGCTTTTGTCTGTTTTATTTAGCCCAATTTTCAAGAACAGTTTGGGAAGATGGTTTGCCAAAAAAAACTCATTTGGTGTATGAATGTATTTGTCATGAATGGGAATTTACTACATATAGAATAGTTTCATTTTATATTTCAATGACCTTTTTCAATGCAATTTTGCTTTCTGTCCAACTGGGGATATGAATAGACCCAGAATGAAAGGCTGAGAATTTGCCCTTCAATTTTCTGTGTCATCTAGGGTAATAAGAAGAGGCAGTGATCAAGGATAGGAAAAAACTTGTGGTACAGAGTTGTGCGTTGGGCATGTCTCTTCCTTTGTTGAATTCTCCAATACCTTACCCTGGCACACACAGGGCCCACACAATAGGGGTTAATCCAGCCGTGAATGGCAGAGCAGCCCCCAGCCACAGGCCTCCGAGGGTATTTTTCTTAGCCAGTCTTGCACAGCAGGATGACCTTTATTTGAAGTATGTCAGGCTGTTTCTCAGACCACATGCATGTGTCCAGATACACAGAATCCCTCACACAGTTTTCAACTGTCAGACCACTGTACCTTTTTAATGCTTAGCATGAATGACTACGTGAGCTTCGTGCTATCTAACTCACTTGCTGAATTTCCCAAAATAAAATTGATAGCGTTGGCTTAATATAAAATGCCCTCCTATGACCCAGAAATTTTAGCAGTAAAGCTCCCTCTCTCTCTTTCTTTCTCTCTCTCTCTCTCTCTCTCTCTCGTGACTGCCCTAAGGAAACCAAAGAAACCATCAAAGCTCCTACACAAAGCATGGCAGTACTGCATAACTTCTAGAGCCTATAGATCACTAGAGTTTAACCAGATAGTACAGCATCACAGCTTCCAAGCTATTCATATTGAAAATTGGTAAATTATTGATACTGTCTTCTCATCATACAAAGAAAGTTCAGGAAAACTATAATTTGTCATATCAAGTATTCTTTTAAAAGATAGTTTATGCATGCATACTTCTCACACACCTGAGTTGCTAATTCATCTGACTTACATATAACACATGAGTTACATTTCCATCCCTGATCTCGTCCAGGTCAAATTATTCGATATTAATTCTGAAGAATTTATTCACGATTAAACACCTCATTGAAATAATTTCAGTAGGGGTAATCTTGGCATAGGATCTGAAACATTAAACACAATAATGATATATGTGTATGTACATATGCATACATATAAAACCATAAATCATATGACTGGCAATAGTCACAAGGTTGGCCACAAGAGGGCGTGTAAAATCACAATAAAATTCTAAAGCCTGTAATTCTGCCAGGCTCTGGTTTTACTGAGAAATTTGAAAATTAACACTAGTAAGTAGCCAGATTTTTTTTTCTAAAATTAACATAAAATATTCTGTAGAGGAAATGCATTCTACGTATATGTATGTGTGTGTGTGTGTGTATACACGCACACACACACATTTAAGTGAATAAACATTTAGACTATTATGAAGAGCCAAGTTCAATTGCTTGATATGCTTTTTTACTTTGGGATTTTTTTTTTTTACAGACTCGTTACTGGGCATCAGTAGAAGAATATATTCCCAAATGGGAACAGTTTCTTTTAGGAAGAGCACCATATCCTATTGGTGTTGAAAATCAAAATGAAGCCGAGAACACCATTCAAAATAAGGCAAAGCAATAACTTCTTCACATGCTACTTCAAAAAACCTAGCTAATAAAGCTGAATGTTAAAGATGTAGGTAACTGCAGGAACTTTAGGTATGTTCATATTGTTCCATTACACCCTAAATGGCAATGAAGGTAGAAAAAGCTACCAAGAAATAGCCAATGATCTCCTACTGCTGTTTGAAGGTCATGAATTTGTTTTCTGCTAAACACATGGAAGTGTTAAAAAACTATTTTTAAAGATGGACTGTTTATTAAACAAAATATTAATCCAGTGATGTGTGTGTTTACACTATATTCCTTCTCATCTAAACAGGTTGGTTCTAAGTTTTCTGGAATCTTTACTGCTCAGTTATTTTATCAAGGGACAGGACCGAGGTGGTTGTTTGCTCACCATTATGGTTTCTTTTAACAATTGAAAAGACAGTGAGGCTTAGCAGCTTTAATATAATAATAATTACCAGAAAATATATTCATAGGATCTTGTGCCTCACAGATAGACCTCTCAAAGTTCTGGAGTTGGAAAGACCTGAACTATAAACAATTTGGTAAGTAGCTGGCTTCAGAAAGCTTCAGATTTGGTTTTGCAAAAGGAGACCTATTGGAGCTGGATGGGAACAGTTATGGATTTTGACTTGGCTATTTAAGGACTGCCAACCTGCTAATGCAAATGACCCCTCCCTCATCTTGTCATCTTTAAACCTTCCCTTCCCTCTCCCTTCTAGTTTTATTTCTGAAGACACTGTCATTTGGATTTCTGAGGGTCGTAGCCTTGAACAGTTTGAGATTCCTCAGTCTACCACTGCTTGAGCAGTAAAGGGAAAAAATAATAATTTCTAACTGTAGAGGCAGCCTCTGCTAGTAAAGAATGTCCATGCTGCTAAAAATGAACTATTTTAAATTGCAAACTAGTTTGTGGTTTTTGGAGAATAGGACATGGTAAATAATGTCAACACACCATCACCCCAACAAAACAACTGTCTTGAACTACCCATTGTGCTGAGAAGTTGCTGTAAACTACCATCTTGAAAATACCCTGTTGAGTGGGTGTTGGTGTGGGTAACAATAACGTTGTTTTCATAATATGTACTGGCAGATTAGCACTCTTCTCTACAGTGTTAACAGTTTTAATAAAAGAATAAACAGCACTGAGTGTCAGTCCGATGACAATTTCATCTATAATGTCACAATACAAAATGTCATGAAATATTAGAACTGTTATATAACTATAAAAAGTATCAACTTAAAAGCTGAAAGCCTTTTTAAAAAAAGAAGACAGAGAAAGGAAGACATTAAGAAATCTTGCAGAGTGGCTGGAACAATTTTATACCTTCTCGAGAGTGTTCTGTCATGAAAATAAATTGATAATTTTTTTCCATTACATTGCAGTTTGGTTTCTAGCCATCCAGTTGATTTAGCAGGAGAATGCAGGTTTTTTGGTTTTTTTAGCAGCTTTGAATTGGTAAACAGATTTAGATGTAGTAAAAAGGAACATGAGGAAGTTTTGTTTTTTTTTTTTAAATCCAGTCTTTCCCAGCATATGCACATACGAAGGTGAATGAAGCAATGTGAAACTTCTCTTTAGTCAAATTAAAAAAAGGCTAAACATTTGTTAGTTGGTAAAATATTGTGTCAAGCAAGTAGGCACATTCCAAAATTAAACAGTGGTTGATACGTTTATGTCCTCAAATATTTGAACGTACACTTCCTTTAAGATCTGTGAATGAAACACCAGTAGGATAGATTAAAATACAAGATGAATGGCAGCCACCTCAGAAATCGTTTGGGTTTTTTCTCCTCCAAATTGATTGACTTGCTAGATTTTGTGTTTTTGTTTTTGTTTTTTAGTGTAAGTCTAATATAACCTAGGTTGCAATTTAGAACATAAGACAAAAGTATTTTTAGGCTTTAGTTGTACCATTTTTGGTGTTTTAGTTAATACTTCAAAAATTCCCACAGATGACTTTATTCCTGGCCCCTACTGAGCTCTGCCACCCCACCCTGCCTTGTAGTCTAACAGATTGCACCACATGGTGTCTGTTTTAAAAAAAAAATTCCCGTAGGGACCTGGATATTCCATTAAAGGGCTTTATATTCCTCGTGGCAAATGAGCCTTACATAGGAATTTCCAAATACTGTTTTTAATAGGAAGGGAGTACTACTATATAAAGTATATTTTTTCTACAATTAATAGGAATCAGACAAGGAAAAAAATCATCTAATATCCCCCCAAAATCAGTGTCCTTAACATGTAACACTATTCTCCATGAAAACAATGAATTTGTATTTTTATTTTAAAGTAATGGAGTTTTCAAAATAAAAGTCATTCAAAGAATTTTTCCAAAGCCCTTCTTGGATCATTGTGAATGCAAAAATATTCAAAGCTCATTTTCTGCTGAAACACTTCTGATCTATAAAATTATTAAACTATAAAATGCTGAAGATTGGAAGGCACTGCAGTTTTCTTTCAAACTTCAAAAACATAAATTTTGAGTACTAAGGAAAAAAGCCTAATACTCTAGAAAACAGACATCTGATCTTCCTCCAGTGTAGAGCAGCAGGAATGGACGTGAAGTCAAATGGACACAGCTTTTCTCTTGTGTCCAGAGACACAAGCTTTTTAACTTGTCAGCTTAAGGGTTAGATAATAATCTGTAACTTTCTTTACAATTTTGGCCTCTCTGTACCATTCCTCTTTCTGCATTAAAAACAAAACAAAACAGTGGATATGTGGGCATATTATTTTTAATGAAAATTAAAACAGAGATTTTGTCGCTGCTCATTATTTGGAGGGGTGTGTGTGAATGTGCATGTGTGACAGAGAGAGATTAAGATTGCAATCACCAATTTCAGAGGAAACTATTGAGCCGTAAGCCCTCTGTGAGACAGGTTATGATGCACAAAGCTATGTATGAATTTAGCTCATGTACAAAACAGTCTTCCATTTTCCTTCCTTACTCTTAATTTGTCTTTTTACTCTAAGCAAATTCATATCTTATTATTGTGTTTTTTAAACAATCAAGTTTTTTGTTTAAAACAAATTGGAGTTTTCAATCCCCCTACTGAATTCTCCTTTTCAATTATTATCCAAGCATAATAGCTACATTTTAAAAATCCTCTTTACTAGTCACTTATATTTTTTACATATTACTTTAATTCATGTGTACTGAGATATCTGCCACCCCCCTCCTTTTCTTTGTTGAGTTGTGGACTAAAATCTACCCTTCCAGGAAGGTAAGATCCAGGTGATGTGTGCAAACAGGAAAGAGTCTGTGGGGAAGATAGAGGAGAAAAGATGGCAGAGAACAGAGAGATTACTTTGAAAAAGCTTCGGGTTGGAGCAAGGGACTCCACCCCACCCCATGCATGTTTTTGTTTGTTTCTCTTAGACTTTAGAAGTTAATTTGTCTACCTAGGAAATTTAATTCCCCATTCCTAGTAAAAGAGCGCTTAGAGTTTTCTGAGACAAACATGGAGACATGTCAAACTTGGGCAATTAAGGCTAGGAGTGATTTGTGGATCTGACACCTGGCATTGTTGAGCTTCCTTTCTACTGGAACTGAGATTATATCCTTACTAAAATTCAAGAAAGGGAAAATGATTCCAACAAAGCCTGAGGCTAAGAATACTTCCGGACATCGTCTTACCCAGCAGAGTCAAGTTTCCCTGCTTCCTTCTAAGTTGCAGCTATGTTTTAATAGCTATGCTATTTTAAAAACTCAAATTCATGCCTCAGACAAAGCCAGACACTCAAATTCTGTGAAAGTACCATCTTGATTAACTATAGTAGAAACCAATAGTTGTACTGAGAGCAGACCATGAAATGCACTGGTTTTAGGAAGTGATGACTTAGTGTGTTTCCATATTTTATAAAATTGCTCCTTTAACCTCTACTGTCAAGGTGTTTCACTTTATTCCTTATACTAGGTTAGCAATGTAGAAAATTCTGATATTTTACACAATACCACTTTAGGGACCATAGAGTCAGATTAGAGGTAAAAGAAACTCCATTTATATATTATGTCTAGCACATCTATCTTTTTTCACCTCCCAATACCACTTTCCATACATCATTTCCAAACATCTAGAAGGTCTTTAACACAAACATTTCTTTGTGCTGGCTTCTACCATAGGCAAATAAATACTGAGGTATTCAAAAGAAGCCAAATCTAGAGCCCTTTAAAATGATATCCAGCAAACAAACAAGTGGATAACAATTAAGCACCAGTCGTTCGTTTGCTTTCATTCATTCATTCAACAGATGTTGTTTGTTGACTGCTATGTCACAGGCACAGTTCTGAGCATGAACAATACAGCAGCAAGTAGAACAGAAAATCCATATTCTTGTGGAATTTACATTTGAGCAAAGGTAGCAGGTGGAAGGGGATGAAGGTAGAGATAAAAACAGCCAGGTACTGGTGGCTCACGTCTACAATCCTAGCTACTTCAGGAGGCATCCTCCTTCAGGAGGATGGTGGTTCGAAGCCAGCCCCGGGGAAGTAGTTCATGAGACCTATCTTGAAAATAGCCATCACAAAAAAAAGGCTTAGTGGAGTGACTCAAGTGGTAGACCATCTGTCTAGCAAGCATGAGGCCCTGAGCGCAAATCCCAGCACTATCCAAAAAATAAATAGCTAAAATAAAAAAAGAATATATAGTTTACTAGATGATGAGAAGGGTAATAGGGTGTGAATGTCTAAAATATCCTCTCAATGCAAGAAAACAAAGCAGAGTTCATGATTTCTTAGGTAATATGGCTGGAACAGAATCTTTGCTTAATCAAAGATCTACAGTTGAGGGTTGCCAGAAAAGCAAAATTTACACAGCTACTACTTTAAGCAACTTTATAATAAAGAACACACACAAAAAAATCCTCAGTACTTTAACACACACACACACACACACACACACACACACACACACACACACACACACATATATGTATGTATAACATTTGTAGCAGTATTATTCACAATAACCTAAACATGGAAACAACCTAAATGTCTACCAATGAATGAATGGGTGAACTGTTACATATACAATGGAATATCATTCAGCCGTAAAAAGGAAAGAAATTTTGATGCATGCCACAACCTGTACCAATCTCAAAGACATAATACTGAGTGAAACAAGACAGACACAGAAGAACTAATATTGGGCAATTCCACTTATGAGAAGTACCAAGAATAATCACATTCATAGGGACAGAAAATATGATGGTGGCTGCCAGGCTCTGGGGGAAGGAAGTATAGGGAGTT